GCTCTCGAAGTTTGGCACCATTCCGGTTATCATTTTCCATGTGTACAGAATGACATACCTCTCCCGTCTCCTCTGCAGTGAGTACAGACTCAGTCGCTGTAACCTCTCCCAGTAGTTAAAATTCTCCATCCCTCTGATCCTGGAAGTAAAGGTTCGTTGGACTCCTTCCAGTTGCCGTGTTGCGCCTAGTTTGAACGGAGTCCAGAGCTGGTAGCAGTATTCAAGGATAGGTATTACAAGGGCTCTGAAGAGTGTGATCATTGGTTCCGCTTCTCTTGTTCTGAACGTCCGCCAGATCCACCCCATCTGTCGTCTACCTTTTGTGGTTATTGCCGGTATGTGATCACCAAAATTTACCTGATTGTTCATCAACACTCCTAGATCGCGAACGAGTCGCTTCATGCTAAGATACGCTTATTCCAGTGGCAACTTGACCAAACCAAGCAAGCCGACCATATAACTTCAGAATTCTTATGTAATTTTTTTTTCATCTTTTGAACAAATCAAACCTTTAGATAATGTAACATGGAATAATCAGGTTGGTGATCAATAAAAGCTGAGGCTGAACCAGCACCAGACAATAAGAAACTGGCTGACCTAATCAAAATTCAGCAACTAGACGCGCGATTGCAGAAAAACGTCCTGACTGGCGACAGCAGAGACGACAATATCAACGTTACAGCGAAGGTGGTGAATGCCAGAACAAATTGTATGGAGAAATTGAGCTTAGTAGACGATCATTTAAATGGTAGGAATCGACAGAGGCAAAATAGTATTGCTTTAGAAATAAACTTTCCGAACGAAAAATTTTACGAATGGTACAGTTTTTGAAATAGGCTTTGCGAAATAAAAATATTACAATCGACTCAAGGAATTAAAAATTGTTTGGCTTTTGAAATAAACTTGACGAACGCCACTAAAGAACGACTTATTTAATTGACTATAGAAATGCATGATAGAATGGGTTTTAAAATAGACTAAACGAACTCCAGAAAAAAAACGAATTTTTTCAAATAGAATATTTGCGAACGTAAAATAGTATGAGTTATGAAATCGACCTAATGAACGATGTAGTCTAATGCATCGTGATGAACTGGAACACGACAAAAAGGCTTTTGAAATGGACTCATGAACACCACAACAAAACGGATTTTCTACTTAACCGCACAAACGCAAAACAGAACAAGTTTTGAAATAATTTAATAAAGGCACATTTAAACGGTTTTTCTAGGAAGTATCCGATAGCTAAAATGAAACGCTATTTTCCATCGACCATACGAACGGCAAAATGAAACGTTTTGAAATATTATTCAAGAAAGCTACAATAAAACGGCTTTTGAACTTGACTGTACAAATGCAAGGATAGAACGCAGCAAGGACGGTACAATTGACAACATAATTGAATTTAAGAAAAGTAGAACCAAAAAGTCCGAGTATGAATGTACGATCGCCGGAATAGAACAACGTTCAGGAATTTTGGGATTGAATTCGGCAGTTACCGCTGCCTTGCTCTGCATTTCTACAATGACGAAGACCTGCACGATCGTATGAGAAACACTCTTTCAAATAAACTAATAGCTACAGTGGACGATCCAAAATGGACTAATATGTGGACAGCAAAAAGCTGGCAGGGTAATGAGGCTGAATCTCTCATGGAACACAACAGCAACGCTGTTCTAGTCCATTCACTGTGAATGGACTAGAACAGCGTCTTTACTAGTCAAATTCTGTGCTCCAGAACTGCTAGAAGCCTCTACTTCATCAAATTTAGTGAAAGCAATAATAGCCTACTCACTCAGCTGAACCCTATAGTATTGTGGTTACACAATGAGAAATTAAAAAAATGAGCCAATTGGTAGCTAACCACTCCACACCTAAATGCAGCTGTTGCAATTTTGAAATTAAAATACAAACATAACTAAATGACAATTTGACAAATATTGTTGATTGCATGCATATCCACGTTTTCTGACTGGCCAAAAGTACCCACAATTGCATGCAGTTTTAGCCATATTGAAATGCAAATAAATAACACAAATGAATGACAAATATTGTTCATTGCCTGGCTGCCTGCAAATCTGACTGGCTGAAACTTGAAAGTGCCCACAATTGCATGCACTTTTAGCCACATTGAAATGCATCAAATATTCAATTTTTTTAATCAATAATCATTGTCCATTGACTGAGTCTTTTGAGTTTTGAGGCGTGTAGCGAGTTCTTCTCACATCTCAGGCTATTCTCAGCTGTCGGACGCTGTGGACGCAGGCTGCCAAATCCCAAATTTTCCATTGCCAATAATTATAGTCCGTCGTGCCAAAAAATATAGCATTGACGAGATATGAAGCTAAAGACGTAAACATTTGTTTAAAGCTTGTAACATATTATATAGTAATTCAAACTAATAAAATATATTAAGGTTCATACATGAAGAAACGATGCTTTATGTATAGACTCGTGCGTCTTGGAATAATTAAAATAATAAATAGTCGTGCGTCTCGGAATTGCTGAGTATTATATACCATGCAGAGGTGAGCAGTAGCGCGCTACATGTAGCGGTAGCGATAGCGGCGCTACATTTAAACAATTGTAGCGGTAGCGGTAGCGCCCGCTATATATTTAAGTAGCAATACGAGGTTTTGTCGCTACAGCACTACCGCTAGCGCTAGCGATATAAAAACATACGCCTCTTTCTTGAAATTCAGTACGCTGCAATTTCAAAAGATAAAGGTTGAACACAAATGTTTATTTCACAAATAGAACCCCATTCAGTGAACCAATATGTTTTTAAGCTGTTTTAACTGTTTCAGCACTAGAAACCTAGGACGTCTCGGGCAAATTTACGGCCGGANAACACCTCATTGTCTAATTTTATTTAAATGTAAAAATTCTATATTCAACGAACAATTATATAAACGTAAAACTTTGATTTACGATGGATTACAATATGCTATTTCTTCGTTTCTAGTGTGAAAATGAATGCTTTTGCCGTCGTTTTACGAGCAGATTTTGATTAATTACAAAACTGATTTTGAAAACTAACTGTTATGACCTTGTCAGAAACTTTATGACCTTCTCAGGCAGTTTTTACGAACTCTCGCTGGCCTTGGGCATCCTGCTGGTGATGTTGGTGGGGGCGTTCACGACGTGGCAGAATTTGGCTCTGATCTGCACGAGCCCTACCCTCATCTACGCCGCCCTCATCTTCTGCTGTAGGGAGTCGCCTGCTTACCTCCTCATGAAGGGCAGGGAGACTGAAGCACGAGCGGCTCTGCAGCACTTCAGGGGTATTACTTCTG